TCCCTTCTCTACAATGTAAATATCCTTGACAAAGAAAACTGAGCAGAGAAATCACTGAGCTTCAGTTTCCCAGCCAAATCCCTTCACTGAATTAGATTACTGAAGAAAAGAGGCTGAATCATCTCAACATGATTTTTTTATAGAGAGATCATTGGCTGGCTCTGACCAATGCAGGTATACAACCTGGCAAGAAACAGACACAGTAAATAATACCAGTATGCTTAAGGACATGAAGTCACCCTAATCTAAAACATTAAAAGACAAAGACAGTCCTAGAGTGGTTGTAGAATCCACAAGCTTCCAGGAGATATGGGACAGCCATTCAAAACTCACAATGCCCGAGACCCTTATCCTGGGTGTCCAGAGTGGCAGAAATGGCAGGCTGAAGAGTGTGCCTCACTCATAAGATGTTTAGGTGAAGTGCTACAGAAGAATAACTTGGGGTACCTTAAGGTATAGGCTAATGGGAATAGCAGCCACTTTAAAGTGAGAGAAGAAGTCTTCAGAGAGGAAATAACAACCTCATATCCCACACATCTTTTACAGCCTTGGAAATCCAGAGAGATTCAAGTGAGGAAACATGGGGTAAGAGAAGCATGGGGCAAGTGGCCTCAGTACCTCAGAGGCAAGGGAAGCCAAGTGCTACAGATGGGGTTGGGTAAAGGAGAAGAGATAACGTTGAAGGGGTACAATGAGTTCTCTATCTCATGGACCCCTTTTGACAGAGGGGTGAAAGTGAAACTATATATCCTAAACCAGTGGTCTGATCGCTCAGCACCCAGTCATGTGCAAGCAGATATCCAGGCACAGGCTGGAAGACCTCAGCTCCACTATCTCTTGTCCATGTACCAAATCTGAGGAACGAGGCTTTCCATCTGAGGAGAAAGGCACAGACAAATGAACCTGCCCTTCCTTCAGCCATTAACAGCCAAAACAAGGCTTAGGGTGGAACTGTTAAACACAATTCAAATTTGTAAAAATGAATTGGACCCTCAACCAAAAGTAGCCAAAAAGAAAGAGGCTGCCCAAGATGGTGTGATGGGACAAAGTACACTGGGTAAATAGGAAACAAATTCACATGAATTCTATCCTAAGAATGCTCAATAACCCAGTGACAATGAAACATGAAGGCAAAAAGAAAAAGAATGAAGTTTAAAATTATAGATATATATATATATATATATAGCATTGAAAAGTCTGTATATTTCCAAAATATCAAGAATGTTCTTAAATCCTCAAAGATTATAGGAAAAATATGTTTCACATCAGCTCATTTAAAAGTACTACCTTTATCTTTTTAAATTTTTTGACAGCTTTATACATTTGCATAATAGCTTTAGTCTTCTCTACCTCTGTACTCCTCCTCCCTCATTCTCCTCCCTCTTCCTTCTTCTCAGCAAGTCCCCTCCAGTTTCCATGTCTTCTTTTTGTGTGTGGCCCAGAGTTTAATCAGCATTTCTTGCCTGAGTTGTGAGAGTATTATGAAGTAAGAGCATCTTACTTATATCACTGAAGAACTTGACACTCCTTCCTTTAGCAACCATTAATTGCAATAGTCTTTCTTGGAGGAGTGGGGTCTCATGCATGACATAGGATGCCCTTCTGTATGCTGTGAATATGTTTTTATTTCCATGGGTTAACAAAGAAACTGATCTGGCCAGTAGTCAGGCAGAATAGAGCCATGCAGAAAATCCAAGCAAACATACAGGGAAAAAGAAGGCAGAGTCTGGGAGATGCCATGTAGCTGCCATGGCCACGTGGTGATACACAGATTAGTAGAAATGGGTTAATTTAATTGTGAGAGCCTGAGCCATTGGCCAAACAATTACAATTAATATTAAGCCTCAGAGTGATTATTTTATAAGCAACTATGGAACCAGGAGGAACGTATAAAAGCTTCCAGCTACTCGTGGGCCCCATCTCCACCCATGATGGAATGTTGATAGGCACAATCTTGAGCAGGTCTTATGCAGATACCCAAAGCTACAGTGAGTTCAAGACTACTATGTCATAGCCAGAAGACATATCTGTGCTTTCACCTCCGCATCTTCTGGCTCTTGCAGTCTTTCCATCTCCTCTTCTCCAAGGTTCCCTAAGTTTTAGAAGAAGTGATGCAGCTGTCCCATGGGGCCCAGCACTTCCACATTCACTTATTCTCAGCATTTTGACCAGTTTTGTGTTTCAACCTAGTCCTAGCTCTAGTCTCTCATTAGAAGTTAGACAGCCTGCCCACTCTTCTGCCCCATCTCTGGGTCTTCACTGGAGGTTAGGGAGCATCTCTTCAGCCCTTGTCCTACATCTCCCTACTAGGTCAGGGAGTCAGAAGAGACTCTGGTCCCAAAGTCAGGCTCCACCAGGCTCTTGTTTACCTCTACTGGCTTTCCTTATTTGCATAATGCCCAACATCAATGCAGCAGACCACATCTGTCAATCTCTGCGACATAAACTTACTTCCTGTTTCTATGTGGTTTCTATTGAAACCATGTGTCATGTTGTACTTACTAAACATAGCTAGCTGTTTTGGGATTATTTAAAGTGCCGATGTTACTGACAATTCTTTTGCTTTTTACCAATTGAAAAAAATTTTTCATAAAATATATTTTGATCATATTCTTTCTCCTTTCCCAACTCTTCCTAGGTCCTCGCCACCTCCCTACCCATCTAATTTCATGTTCTACCTAAAAGAAAAAAACTGGAAATTAAAAGACAGAAAGACAAAAATACCAAAACCAAAAGTACACACACACACACACACAAAAAAAAAAAAAAAAAAAAAAAAAAAAAAAAAAAAAAGGAATCCATTTGTATTGGCCAGGTATTCCTAGGTCCACACCTGCCCTAAAGAGTGGTTGGCATAACTTGTGTAACTTCATTTAAAAAACAAACAAACAAACTTATTTTCCCTTTCCAAATAGGTTCCAGTTGCAAATAGCTTCTGGTTAGAGATGGAACTTTGTGTCTGACTCGCCCCTTGTCCATTCTGGGATTTTGTCTGGCTTGAATTTTACTGTCACAGTCTCTGAAACCATATGTGGAAGACACTTTCTTTGTGAACACCTATGATGAGCCACTATAACCAGAAAGTTAATGTACAATGTGCTTTATGGACACAGGTGTTACAATTTTAGCTTTTACTGAGAATCTTAGTGTCAGAATCCTCATTTTAATGCAGTTCTTGCCTCCTGGGAACACTACTCACATTTTCGTGGAAAAAAAATATGTTAAGCCGTTTGCTCATACAAGTGGGCATATTTCAAAACTGGAATGATACTTTTCTGTTTTCTCTCTTGTTATCCAGTTTACTTGGTTATATAAGGACTGTCGTAACATAAACAAGATGTCAAGTTGGTAAGCAAAAGTTGATTAAGAAGCACACCTGCTCTAGAAGCCCCTCCCTCCAAATAAACATTTCTTTACCAAATCTTGCCTGGTTCCCCCCCCTCTGTTCTGGAATCCCCAAAATACTATTACTAGTACCCCCTTTACATGAAACAGACCAACACGCTCACTAAGTTCATTGTCCCTGTCTCACAAGTGTTGAGTCCCCACACAGACCAACAAGCTTGCTAAATTCACTGTTCCTACCTTAACCAAGGGTTGAGTTCCCACAGGCAGGTGGAGAAGGGGCCTTTCAGTCCTTAATCACTGAATCTCTTCAGGCAAAGAAACCCAAAATGATGCCTTACCCTATCAGACATCAATTCTTAGCGCTACTACTTGCATTACAAAAGAACAGAATCATGGTTCTAACTGGCTTTGATCCACTTAATGTTGAGAGGGTTTAATATCTCTAAATCCTTTGCAAAGTAATTTTTGTGAATTGTGAAATAACTGATTCACATTTTAAGTGCTACACTGCCCCCTTGTGTATCTTGTGTTTGGTAAAAATTCACTCGCAAAAAAAGTAAAAATTGTAACCTTCTGAGATACTTCAAAGGAATCTAAGACACTAGGACTAGAAAGAACCTTAAAACCTATCAAGACCAGAATGCTTACTTCACACAGGGGAGAATTACATACCTAAAGAATTTTCTAATCGTTCAAGTTCATCCACTACTGGCGAATGTCAGAAAGGACTCTTGAATGGAATTCAAACATCTCTAAAGTGATTATACACATTAAATCTGTCACCAAAATGAGGAAGAAACCCAGGCATAGAAAGTTGAAAACAGACCTAGATAGGATGTTTAATTAAACAACACCTATGTTTCATGAAACTTCTCTACTTTCCTCTATGTCTCCTTGGGCTTCCTATGGAGACTGCTCCACAAATTCCAGAGCCCCAGAAATCTCTGGCTCACAAATAAATTTCTCCCACGGGAGTCCTGGCAGCAGGAAAGGTTATCCCAGACTATGAGCCACTAAACAAGCAGCTTTCGGCTGGGTTAAAGATAATTCTTATTTGTCAAGAAAATGATGAGCATTGATTACTCTCTGCTCAGCTACAGTAATCCACGCAGCAGACATGCTGAAGTGTGCCAAACTGCTCTGTTCTGTTTCCCTGTGATCCGAGACACAGTTTAAGTCTTCAAATCCCAGAGGACAGCAATATAAGTGAGTGGACTTCTTTTTAATGGGTTACTACAGCAGACTGACCACCAGCACACTTGAACATTGGAATTTGGAAGGCACACACTATTCTGGTAATAAGCACTGAATGGTGAGCCTCAGATAGTTACTGAACACTTCACTTCCTGTGCACCTAACCAAAGATAGTTATAAATATTCGAAAGGTGTCTTATTGGAGTTCACAAGAATAGAAAAACTGGGCGGTAGGAAGAGAGAACATCATTGCTGTGGTTGAGATGGTTCACACTGCTACCAACTACTACGGGTCATGAGTCTGGCTGGCATTTTAAGGTAATTAACCATAAGCAAGTAAACTCAAGCTCTTGATTCAATCAACAATGACACTATATTTGCATCCAGAAAAATACAATAAAAGTACTGTCAGAAACCAAAGTAGAGTCCCAGCCACATAAATACAGCCGTCAACTCACCATGAAACACACTGTTGTCCACCAGAAAATGCCTGCGGTACTGCACACAGCCCCTTTTCTTGACGTTCCAGTAGCTCATTGTTGGATGATTTCTGGCACAGCATCAAAACCAAATTGCCCTGTCAAGAGGAACAGAATGAGACAAAAATGAAAAAAACGGCAGCCACACGTTCACACTGGCAGCACAGTGCCATTAGTTGCCTAGCATTAGGGGCAACACATGGGCTACAATTTGGAGCCAGACTCCTCCAGGCCCTAACAAATTTCCCACAAATCTGCCCAGGACCTGAATGTCCTTTTTTTTTTTTTTTTTTTTTTGCATACCAAAATAATACCTCCTTCTAACAGCATCCTCAGTTACTGCTGTCTGCTGAGGAAATTAATCTATCATTAAGCACATTTCAGGACTGGCCTGTGTGCTCCAGGCCGCACTTGCATTCCATCAGGACCCCAACCAGTCAATCTTGGTAAGTTTCCATAAGTTTCACTAGCAGGTGGGCCATCATTTCAACTCCTGAATTTTGTGTTGGTACCATCCCGGCAAGTTACGTAAGCAACTCACGAAACGTTAGGAATTATTACAGTGTCCATGTGGGTGCAAGTACGACAAATCCTAGCAAAGTTTGTTGGCCTTCTTTTGGTTCATTGCAGCTATTTATTTAGGGCCACTAATCCCCGTATCCACCCAGGTTCAGGATGTAACTAGAGCTGGGCCAGGCCTGCAACACTGGGAACTCAGAGTACCTGCTAGATCCCCACCTCTGCAGAGAGCAAGGACTTGAAAAGCAGAGATCTGAGCTGATGAATTAAGTTGCGAAAGCTGATGCACATAACCCTGAACAAGGCCCCCTTTGTTCACATGATCTGGTTAAAGTGACTTTTCAGAAAATTCCAACCTCCTTTCTGTTCACAAAGCCAGAAAAACGCAAGCAATGCTGGGAAAAAGCAAAACCCACAGGTGGAAAACAATTTTGTCATCTGTCCTATTGTAACAGTCTAGAGTTTTGTAAGTATACCCCAGTATGAAGTCAGTGGCTTAAAAAAAGGGGGTTAAAAAAAAAAAAAAAAAAAAAAAAAAAAAAAAAAAAGTAAGCTAACACATTGCTGTCTGTCACTGGGATAGCTAGTGGAGGCTCCTGGAGCAACCATCTACAAAGGGGGTCTTACCGACATTCAGCCTACCCGAGTTTCCACACAGGCCTAGACTCCCTCCTCTTTTTTTTAACCTCCTCCCCCCAGTTTGGAAGGATTTTCCTATTCTGTAAGGTGAAGGGAGTCAGAACACCATGTGGAAGCACTAAGAGACATGATAGAGAAAAAGTGACTAGAGACAGCCCTACCTTTGTCCTCCAAAACTAACATTTCATACATAAAGATGGCATAGCCCAAGTATTCTTAGTTATATAAAGAATGTAGTAACAGGCTGAGAGCGTAGCTCATAAATAGAGTATGTGCATAGAAGTGCAAGGCCCTGATTTTAAGACCTAGCACCACATATAAATAAGCAAAGCACAACTAAACATGTTATTGATTTCTTCAAAACTGCCAAAGCTGGTAGTACTGAAGTCCACCCGTCTTCTTGCCCATTCTGGTTCCTTCTGCCTTCATTGCATGCCCCTCTCCTAGAATAACTAATTCTTAAAAAGTATTTCATTCCAGCATTATACCTAGATATACAATTTTGAAGTCCTCTATATTATTAAGGACACTACCTTTTTCCAAGAAAATAATTTTAATAATGAACAGTAGTATTGCCCAATTACAAAAAGTGTACTTGTCACTTACAATATAAATACGTTAATTTACATAGAATTAAAATTATCTGTATTCATGTTTATTTTTCCTTGCTAATTCAATTTTGTGGTTTTGTTATTATCAGATTTTGCCTTTACCCATTGCTGTAAAAGCCTAAGGAAGCCCTAAGGTGTTTATAGTTAGCAAAACAGCTACATGTGCAGGGCTCTCAACCAGGACTTATTAATCTTCTGAGACAGGTACTGTTATCTCTTCCCACCACACCAAAGAAGAAAAGATGCTATTAGAGAGACTGATTTGTTTATGCTGCCAGAAAAAGGCAGAAATACAACCTTCAATCATATCTACAGATTCCAAACTCAAGTTTCTAACCGTGATAGGCCAGAAGAAATTAAGTTGTTAGGTGATATGAAGGTTTCAAATAGGTCCTGTAGCCAGGCATGTAAGAGTTCATGCCTGTAATCCCAGAACTTGGAAGGCTGAGGCCAGGGAACCTATGTTCAAGGTCATTCTGAAGTCCATAGTGAAATCCTGTCCAAAATAATAGAGAAGGGGGGTGGTCCTGCAAATTCACAAGGATTTCAGCTAAGATAAGGGTTCGGTGACTTTTTCTACCAATAAAATCAGCTGAAAGGGATGCTATATCTTCCAAGATAAGAAAGTTTCAAAGGCCCTAGCCTGCTTCTCTGTTGCTGTGATTGAACACTGACCAAAACCAACTAAGGGAGGGAAGGGTTCTCTCCATCACTGAGAGAAGCCAAGGCAGGAATGGAGGCAGGAACTTAACAGAGACAGCTGAAGTATGCTGCTTACTGGCTTGTTTCTGCTCAGCTAGTTAGCTAGCTTCTTTATAAAAAACAAACAAACAAACAAACAAACAAACGGGGGACTAGGGTGACACTACCTACCACAGAGGCTAAGGCCTCCATCAGCCAGTATTCAAGAAAATGCCCACAGACATGCCCTGATAGAGGCACTTCCTTGATTGAGGTTCCCAGGTGTGTCAAGCTGACAGTTTGAAAACAGCCTCACAAAAAAATAAACATCATTTAATAGATTCCCTCTTGCTTCAGTATTAGAGAATTTAGCCACCAAGTTATGATGAAGCCCTGGTTGAAGTATTCCAGCCACAGATATGTGCCATGATCTTAATGTCTGTGTTCCCCAAGTTCATATGTGGAAATCTTTAGATAGTGATTTCAGGAGGTGACGAATTGGGGTTCTAGCCTCCTTGGGATCTCTGTCTTTTATGTAGGAGGCATCAGAGCTAGTTGACTGTATACACTATGTGTGGATACAGCAAGAAGCCAGCAGTGTGCAACTGGAAGAAGGCCCTCCCTAGACACCAAATGCTACTCGATCCTGGAATTCCTAGCCTTCGGAATTGTATTTCTGTTTTTGTAAGCCACCTTGCCAATGGCATTTTGTTATAATGATTCAAGTGGGTTGACAGCATGAGAAGAAATGGACATAGCACAGATCTTCAAGTGTTACAGGTAAAGTCCTTGCTGTCCAAGCATGAGGTCCTGAGTTCAATTCCCAGAACCAAAAAAAAAAAAAAAAAAAAAAAAAAAAAAGGTCAGGTGTGGTGGCAGGGTTGGGAAAGCAGAGACAGGAGGATCCTGAGGTTCACTAGCCAGCTAGCCTAGCCTACTGGGTGAGTTCCAGGCCAGTAAGAGACCATCTCAAACAAACAAGGTAGACAGCACCTGAGGAACACTAGAGGTTGACTTCTGACATATACATGTATATGCACAAGCACTCATACAGGTACACACACACACACACAACACACACACACACACACACACACACACACACAGAGAGAGAGAGAGAGAGAGAGAGAGAGAGAGAGAGAGAGAGAGAGAGAGAGAACTTCAGCTTCAACTAGATTTAGAAGATCCAGGACTACTACTCACTGAAGGCAGGCAACTGAAAAGAATGTCAAAATTTAGCTAAACCAAACTTCTTATGTAACCAAAAGGAAACCAAGGCCCAGGAAGCATGTGTAACTTGCAAGACAGCACTGCTGGCTGGCTATTGAAAAATGCTGAACCCCACCTTCAGGAGCCCAGACTTCATTTGAATGGTCTACAGTTCTATTTGTATGTGCACAATGAAATGCACTTGTGTTGCACCTACCGAAAGCCAAGATGCTTTTAAAATGATTTCACATCTTACAAAACATTCCATATCCTCAGGGGCCTCTGTAATGTCCACATTACACCTGGAACTCTGTATAAACACGTCTGCATGCTCATAGACTATGTAAACTTATTGTGCGAGTATTGTGTCTGATGTGTGTCTGTGTGCCACATGTGCACAAGAGGTCTTCTTGCAGTGAGCACTGGATTCTCTGGAAATGGAGCTACAGCTGGTTGTGGGTTGCCGTGTGAATGCTAGGAATCAAACCCAGGTCCTCAGGAAAAGTAACCAGTGCTCCTAACCACTGAACCGTCTCTCTCCGCCCCTTTGTTGATTTATTTTGTCATTATTACATCTCTTTATTTACTGTTAGTGTTTATGTGAGTTCACTATTGTCAGAAGGCAAATATGGAAGTCAGAGGACAAGTATCAAGACTTGGTTCTCTCATTCCACAAAGTGGGTACTGGAGATTGAACTGGGGTCATAAGGCTGGGCAGCAAGTACCTTTACCCAAAGAGCCATCTCACCAGAATGCATAAATTCCTAACCATTACAGTGATTCACAAAATTATTAACTTAAAAGAATATCAGAAATAACCAGTAGTTATTAAAGAAGTTCTTTTGGAAGCAAGGTTAATGTGGGATTTTTGTTTTTTGTTTCTTTTGCTTCTATTTTACTTGTTTTTATGAAGCAGACTCCTTGTATAGTCCAGGCTGACTTCAAACTCACTATCTTCTACTGCCATGATAAAAACCCTGACCAAAAACAACTTAGGGGAGAAAGGGCTTATTTCAGGTCGCAGTTTAGGTTAGATCTCATGTGGTTGCTGGGAATTGAACTCAAGATCTCTGGAATAGCAGCCAGTGTTCTTAACTTCTGAATCATCTCTCCAGCCCCATTAACATATTTTATGAAACAGTACAAATCTCTTCAAGTCACATAAATGGCTTACCAGGCAAGCTTCTCTAGTTCACAAGCTTATAAAAGACAACCTCAGGGTGAGGAAGTATAGACATTATTTTTTTAAGTGGGTAGTGAGGTGGAGATGGCTCAACATGTAATTAATGTACCTGCTACCAAACCAGATGATCTAAATTCAATCCCTAGGACCCACATGTTCACTATGGCATGCAAGTGTCCACCCACATGCACGGTAATAATAATAATAAATGAAATAAAATGGATTTTTAACATTTTTTGAGACAGAGTTTCTCTGT